CACATCGCACTGCAGGCTCATGTTTAGCTTGTGATCAACCAGAACACCCAGATCCCTTTCACATGTGCTGCTGTCAAGACAAGTCCCTCCCATTCTATATCTGTGCCTTTGATTTTTTGCACCTGAGAGAACTTGTGACTGACCCAAGGTCACCCAGCTGGCTTTGTTGGTCTTAAAGGTGCCACTGGACTCGAACTTTGTTCGGGTGACCTTATTTATTTATTTATTATATTTATACCCTGCCCATCCTGCGAACAGGCTCAAGGCGGCTTTGGGCCAGTCACACTCTCTCTCAGCCTAACCTACCTCACAGGGTTGTGGTGAGGATGAAATGGAGGAGAACCGTGTAAACCGTGGGTTCCCGTTGGGGACAAAGGTGGGGTACAAATGAATTAAATAATAAATACACAGAGAGCCAGGAGTGGAGAACAGGGTTGCATTTGGACCGACGAGATCTCGATGGTCTCTTGAGTAGAGTTGCCTGGCAACTGGTGGAAAGTTTATGGGAACCGTGGGTTCCCGTTGGGGACAAAGGTGGGGTACAAATGAATTAAATAATAAATACACAGAGAGCCAGGAGTCATCTCCAGGGTTGCATTTGGACCGACGAGATCTCGATGGTCTCTTGAGTAGAGTTGCCTGGCAACTGGTGGAAAGTTTATGGGAGGGCAGCATCCTGGCAGGGGATTACCATAGAATTTCTAGCAATTGCTAGAGCCACCCTTGTCGCTTCCAGGTAGCTCTAGGAATTGCAAGAACTCTGTGGTCAGGACTTCCCGGAGGTAGACGAGGTCTTATTTTTCCTTTTAATTGTTCTCCCCGGGACGATCCCACCCTCCTCTTTTGGCCCCCGTTTCTGCCTGCCGATCAGATGAGCATCAGCAGGTACCAACAGTAGTGACCAGGTTGGACCGATGGTCTGATTCAGTATAAGGCTGTGGTCACACAGTCATTTTGATCGGGTTCCACTGCTGTTCCCTCTCCCATTTAAAATTGCTGATCAGACGCCCACATCTGTCTCCCGCACCGAAGTGGGCTCAGTCGCACAATCCTCCCAGGTCCCTAGCGAGTTTTCCGACACCGGGAAAATCAAGTGCTTTCCAGGCACTTGTGCTTCGAATCCGCGATTTTGCCGATCTGGACAGCCATCTCTCGCAAGGATTGCGATTAGGTCGTCTGAACGTCCTTCTTCTGGTCGGGGTTTTTTTTTGACAACTTTTCACCATTGTGCACATGCACACATGTGCACATCTGCGCATGCGCAGGTGCGCAAAGAATTTTTTTAATTTTTTTTTGTTAAAGTCTGGACACTGCCTGGAGCCTTGTCGCGCAAGGCAAGCGGTTGGGCACGGGATGCGTGATCATCTGAACCCGCTTAAAAATATCCCCAATCAAATCTACAGCAGGAACAAATCGCGGTACGCTTGCCGTGTGACCACAGCCTAAGGCATCTCTGTGTGTGTACGTACATACTGTTACTCTGTGTATAGTGTGTACATTTTTAAGAGCGCCCCAATCAGCAGTTGTACGAGCAAAGGGGTGAGAGTGAAGTCGATTCCCAGGGACATCCCACTGCAAAGCCGGATATGCGGACCATGAAACATTGCGCCCGACTTCACCGTGAGCTACGGGACTCGTTGCTTTTGTTGCAGCCACCCAGACGGTGGCGCAGGCTCTCCCCTGTCCAAGCCACACACGCTCCGAGGTTGCCGCCCCTGCCGAGTCCTCCCCACTCACCTTCTCTGGATCGTAGTCGGGGGCCGTCTTCTGCACGGCTACGTTTGTCAGGTGAACATCTGGCAGGAGGTAAGGACTGTACACCTGGAAGACCATCTTGGCCCCTAAACAGCCCCCACCCCGACCCAGTCCAGAGTCCGGTTAGTTATTCCCCCACACACACACACCTGTTCAGTCGCCCTCCAGCTGCTGAAAGATAAATGAAGGAAGAAGAAAATGGGGGACCACATCCCTGTATTTTACCAGGAAATATAAATCCCAGAGAAGCAGATCTCATGCAATAAAATATAAGACAGCACAGACAGAAGCATGAAGGGAGCACCACCTCTCTATGGAAGGCCATGTGCAGGGAGGGAGAGGGCAAAGGGAGGGAGAGAGGAGGGGTCAGACGTAGAGATGTAAAATTTCCGGAAATTTTGAAGCTCGGAAAAAAACCCGGTTTTTTCCCGTTTTTTTCCCGGAAAAAAACGGAAATTTTCGGAAAAATTGAAAAAAATGCTATATTAGCATTTCTTTTGTCTTATCTAGATTGAAAGTCATTCTGTTACTTTAGGAACATAAAAAATGAGGTCGCTGCTCAGAGGCAGGGAAAGGCAAACCCACCTCTTGCCTTGGAAACCCTCTGTGGTCGCCATAAATCAGGTGCAACCTGATGGCAAGAATAAACAATAGTGGGAAGAGCCACAAAATGGCTGCCACGGGAGGCGGAGCCAGCCACAAAATGGCCGCCACAGGAGGCGGAATGGCTGCCACAGGAGGCGGAGGTGGAAATAAAATGGCTGCCACCTTCAGCTCCATGGTGAAGATCCTTGTGCTGTGGTGGCCGCTGCCGCCAAAGCAATGCTTTTAAGAAATGATGGGCGCAGCTAATCAAATTGTCAGTGGTCTCTCAGCAACCTTGACGGGAAAGCCTCACTTGGTTCTGCCCACTTTCTAAAAGCACTTGGTGGCCACCGGGGAAGGCGTCGGCAGGCCCGTAGCCACCGTGGGGCGTCTCGGGGCCCGGACCCCTGACTTCCCATCCAGCGAAGACCCCCCCTTGACTTCCAATTTTTAATTTGTGGCACTTCCTTGGGGGGGGGGTCTGTGCGGGGGGCCCCCTGACTTAGAATCATAGAGTCATAGAATGTTAGAGTTGGAAGGGACCTTGCCGGTCATCTAGTCCAACCCCCTGCACGCTGCAGGAGCATTGCCGAAAGAGCCCTACAACATACCCGAAAGAGGGTCGTCCAGCCTCTGCTTGAAAATGTCCAGCGAAGGAGCCTCCACCACCTCCCGAGGCAGTCTGTGTTTCACTGCTCGGCCACTCTGACAGTTAGGAAGTTTCTCCTGATATTCAGCCGGTATCGACTCCCTTGTAATTTCCACCCACTAGATCTAGTCTTGCAATCCGGAGCAAGAGAGAAGAGATCTGCTCCATCTTCTACATGACAGCCCTTCAAATACTTGAAGACTGCAATCCTGTCCCCTCTAAGCCTTCTCTTTCCCAGGCGAAACACACCCAACTCTTTCAGCCTTTCCCCGTGAGACTTGGAGTCCAACCCTCTCGCCATCCTGGTTGCCTTCTTCTGGACACGCTCGGGCTTGTCAACATCCTTCCTCAAATGTGGTGCCCCAACCTGGACACTGATATTTCCTACCTCTGTGTCCCAGCCCCAGTATTCCTTGGAGGTCGCCCTTCCAAGTGCTCGCCGGGGTCGGCCCTGCTTCGCTTCTGAGATCTCACGAGATCCGGCTCACCCAGGCTACCAAGGTCAGGGAGGCGCCAGAGATAGTTCCGACGACATTTCTCCCTGGAAAATCTACCATTCGGACTGCCAGGACTGCGTTTTTCATATCTGCCTGCTTGGAAATGTATGCAGGACTCTGCCATCCTGGTTGCCCTCCTCTGGACACGCTCAATCTTGTCAACATCCTTCCTAAAACGCGGTGCCCAAAACTGGACGCAGAGAGGTCCGGGTGCTTTGCATGCTCTCCCTCGAATGGAAAGGAAAGCTGGCCGGGCAGGACTGTAGCCAAAAGGGCCCAGCATATCCATAAGGGGGGGGGCACAGACCATGGGGAGGAATGGCAGCCACTTATTTAGGGGTGATCGTCGTCACCTGACCTAGAAGGCCCAGGCTAGTCCGATCTTGGAAGCTTAGCAGGGTCGGCCTTGCTTGGGACTTGGATGGGAGACCACCGAAGAAGCTCTACAGGGGCAGGCCATGGCCAACCACCTCGGTTGGTCTCTTGCATTGAAATCTCGGAAGCAAAGCAGGGTAGGATCTGCAGTGGTAGAAAAGAGCCAGAGTCCAGCAGCACCCTAAAGACTAACAAAATATGTGTCAGGGTAGGAGCTTTCGTGAGTCACGGCTCACTTCTTCAGATACAGCAAGAAGAAGAAGAAGAGGAGGAGATTGGATTCACACCCCGCCCTTCACTACCCAAAGGAGTCTCAGAGCGGCTTACAAACTCCTTTCCCTTCCCCTCCCCACAACAGACACCCTGTGAGGTAGGTGGGGCTGAGAGAGCTCTGACAGAAACTGCTCTTTTTCAAGAACAGCTGTGCCAGAACGATGGCTTGCCCAAGGTCATCCAGCAGGTGCAAGCGGAGGAGTGGGGAATCAAACCCGGTTCTCCCAGATTAGAGTCCGGTTAGTAGTACTTGGATGGGAGACCACGAAGGACGTCCAGGGCTGCTACACAGAGACAGGCCGTGGCAAACCACCTTTTGTGCTTCTCTTGTATTGACCTGGTTAGCCCGGGCTCACCCGATCTCAACAGATCTTAGAAGATAAGCAGGGTCGGCCCTGTTTTGTACTCGGATGGGAGACCACTCAGGAAGAAGAAGAAGAGGAGGAGGAGATTGCATTAGACTTATTTAAAGGCCCTCCCCACATTAAAAAGTCCTGGCTACAGGCCTGCGTGTTGGTGGGAGCCAGGGGGTCTATGGGTACCATGTCAGAATCACAGAGTCGGAAGGGACCTCCAGGGTCATCTAGTCCAACCCCCTGCACCATGCAGGGAATTCACAACTACCTCCACCCCCCAACACACACACCCAGGGATCCCTGCTCCATGCCCAGAAGAGGGCAACCCCCCCCCCCCAGACTCCACGCTGGGCCCCCCTGCTGCAGAGAGTGAGGCCAGGTCAGGATACACTGGTCGTCGATGGTGTTGAGAGTGAAGCGCGTGTTGGAGAAGCGAGCAAAGCCGTCTCGGTACAGCCAGGCTTTGAGGGGCAGGTACTAGGAGAAAAAGAAACGGGGAGGGTGTGTGTGAGGGGGAAGGTCCTCCGAGCTCTTCACTGCATCTGTGGGCGGGGCGGGGGCAACTCGTTCACTCACCGACATCACCAGGACGTACACCCGCAAGTCGAATTTACGGCCTGCGAGACAAAGAGAAACGGCTTCGGAGCAGGAACTCCCATGTAGATTGTAAGCAATGCCTCCCTCTGAGCCGCGGGGTCTTGTGAGCCAAAATCCTACTTTGTGAGCCACTGGCATTAAAGCTGTGAGCGAGCCATTTGACTAATGCATCCATTAATTGGCTCTGGAGCCCCATCCTTCCTGAGCGGAGACGAAAGTGTGGGAGCCGGAGGCTAAGAAACTGCGAGCTGGCTCACACTCACTCAGCTTAGAGGGAACACTGGTCACGGGATAAAGAGGACCGGGCGTCTTCTGGATTAAACACTGGTCAAATGACAGGAAGGAGGAAAATTCTGCTTTATGGAAAAGGAAGAAAAAGCTCCCTCTGTCTACTTTCTCCATCCATTCCATTAATAATTTTAGGAACCTCTATCATAGGTTCTCTGGTGTCAGGGCATCATCAGCACCTCATGTATTTTGGGGTGGGGCGGGAGGAACACAGGATGCCTTCCCAGCAATGCTCCCTCTAAGCCGTGGGGGTCTTGTGAGCCAAAATCCTACTTTGTGAGCCACTGGCATTAAAGCTGGGAGCGAGCGATTGGGCCGCTGCATCAATGAGTTTGCTCCTGGAGCCCTCCTTCCTGAGCTGAGACGAAAATCTGTGAGCTGGAGGCTAAAAAACTGAGCTCACACTCACTCAGCTTAGAGGGAGCTTACCATTGGTGCAGCGGCCCAATCGCTCGCTCCCAGCTTTAATGCCATTCCAGACCTATGGCAGGGCTACCTGACACCGTAGATGCTCCAGCTGCAGTTTTACTCGGCTGGGAAAGTTAACGGCTTTTACTTTTCCCGCTTGCTTTGCCCGTGCGCGCGAGATGTATCCATTGGCTCATGCTTACCGGGGGGATGTTTGAGTCTAGTATGTCAGAGGCCCTTGTATAGGCGGCCATTCCTGACACAAGCTGGACACGTGGTCTCTAGTACTGGATTTACCAATAAACAGTTATCTTCTTATTGTTGAGTGTTGAGTAACCTGGCTAAGGACCTTGACACACGGCTTTAAAACAGAAATGGCCGGAGAGTTTCCAGCGATGGAATGAGAACACAGGCTCACTGTTCCCCCCCCCTGAGATAGCCCCCCCCCCCCGCTAACTGAGCTTTGGGTAGGAGAGAAGAGCGGCCGATCCTTCTCTTTCTCTCACACAAATGCTTTCTCTAGCGCAGCGACTCTGCCTCTTTTATTTGGACAAAGGTGTGCGTGCGCATGCTTGGGCCAGAGGCGACTCACCCCCGATCAAGTACGGGTTTTCGATATACCGCTGAGCCACGTAACTCTCGACCGGGATCTCGTCTTTCTGGTCGTCGAGGCGGACGCCGTCCTGTGGAAGAAACCGTGCGACTTGTTTAGTTGGGGAAGAGTGAGACCGGCGGCATCCGAGGTCCTCTGGAGCTTTGCTCTCGCTAAATGCGGTCAGATTTTATACTCTTGGGTCAGGGAGGTCACTGTAGATGGGGTCGGATTGCCAGCCATAGGTTCGGAAATACCTGGAGATTTGAGGGTGGAGCCTGGGAGGGTGGGGATTAGGAGGGATATCCGGCAGAGAATAATGCCAGGCAGTCCACCTTCCAAAGAAGAAGAGAAGAGAGATTGGATCTATACCCCTGGCCCTTCACTCGGAGTCTCAGAGCGGCTGACAATCTCCTTTCCCTCCCCCTCCCCACAACAGACACCCTGTGAGGCAGGCGGGGCTGAGAGAGCTCTTTGACAGAAACTGCTCTTTTTCAAGGACAGCTCTTATCAGAGCTACGGCTTGCCCAAGGTCATCCAGCAGCTGCGGGTGGAGGAGGAGTGGGGAATCAAACCTGGTTCTCCCAGATTAGAGTCCGTGCACTTAACCACTACACAGCAGACAACACAACAGCAAAAAAAAAAAAAAAACCACTGTGAAATACAGTGCTATTATAGTAAAGGCAAAAGTAAAAATGATTTATATACACTCAAAGTGTTATTGTAATGTATTAGTTACTTCCAGTATTCCATATGAGGCATTCAGTACGAAAATACAGTTCTCTCCATCAGTATCAAAATGGCATACAAGAAACCCTCACGAGGGAAAAGTCCAACGGAAATTTATCGGTAGAATTAATCAAAATCTGTGCAGTGTCCAAAGCGGAAACGAGACGGGCACTTCTGGCTGACGCCCACGTTTTGGCGATCCGGTCCCTTCTTCAACAAAGGAAGCTGGCAGAGCATCCAAGAAACAATCGAGGTTATAGAGTCATAGAATGGTAGAGTTGGAAGGGACCTTGCAGGTCATCCAGTCCAACCCCCTGCACTCTGCAGGAGCATAGCCAAAAGACAGCCCTACATACCTACAACATACTCGAAAGATGGCCGTCCAGCCTCCGCTTGAAAATGTCCAGTGAAGGAGCCTCCACCACCTCCCGAGGCAGACTGCTCCACTGCTCAACCACTCTCACAGTTAGGAAGTTTCTCCTGATATTTAGCCGGTAACGACTTCCTTGTAATTTCCGCCCATTAGACCTAGTCTTGCAATCCGGAGCAAGAGAGAATAGAACTGCTCCATCTTCTACCTGACAGCCCTTCAAATACTTGCAGACTGCAATCATGTCCCCTCTAAGCCTTCTCTTTCCCAGGCTAAACATCCCCAACTCTTTCAGCCTTTCCTCCTAAGACTTGGAGTCCAACCCTCTCACCATCCTAGTTGCCCTCTTCTGGACACGCTCGAGCTTCTCAAAATCCTTCCTAAAATGTGGTGCCCAAAACTGGACACAGGACTCCAGGTGAGGCCTGACCAGAGCAGAATAGAGCGGAACGACCACCTCCCGTGATCTGGACACAAGGCTTCTATGAGTGCATCCTAAGATTGCATTCGCTTTCTTCACAGCCATATCGCACTGCAGGCTCATGTTTAGCTTGTGGTCAAGTCTTTTCGGATTGCCGAAATGTGGGAGTCAGCCAGAAGCCCCGTTTCGTTTGTGCTTCGGACACTGCACAGACTTTGATTAATTCTACCAAGGATTATTTTTGGACAGGAATGCACAGGAACGGAGTTCCGGCTGGCTCCTGAGTTGGCCACGCCCAGCAGGAACTCATTAGCATAACAGGCCACACCCAACAGCAGAAACTCATTAGGATTGGCTACATTAGGGGTGTGTGGCCTAACATGCAAAGGAGTTCCTGCTACGAAAAAAGGCCCTGGCTTTTGACAACAAACAAGGTCAACAGAATAAGAAGGGAAAGGTGGGTGTGGCTGGATGACCACACTTCTGGTGGCATGGGGGTGTGGCCTAATATGCTAATGTGCTGTGCTGTCAGGGGTGCGGCCTACTATGCTAATGAGTTTCTGCTGTTGGGTGTGGCCTGTTATGCTAATGAGTTTCTGGTGTTGGGTGTGGCCTGTTATGCTAATGAGTTCCTGCCGGGCTTTTTCTTCAAAAAAAGCCCTGATTCTACCTATAAATTTCCCTCGGACCTTTCCCTTGTGAGGTTTTGCATATACCATTTTGATACTGATGGAGAGAACTGTATTTTTGTACTGAATGTCTCATGTGGAATATTGGAAATAACTAAAACGTTACAATAACACTTTGGGTATATATTAGCGGTTTTACTTTTGCCTTTATTGTAATAGCACTCCTATTTCACAGTGGCTGTTTTTGCTGTTGTGTTGTCTACACTGTGATTCCTCTGGTGGCAGTATCACCTTCCAAAGAAGGCATTCTCTCCAGGAGAAGTGGGATTTTATGTTTGAAATAAATGAACAAATAACAAGCAACGGATATTGTCTGGATGGCAGTGGTAATTCCAGGAGACCTCCAGCCCCCACCTGGAGGTTGGCAACCCTATGGGGCCTTCCCCCGAACTCAGACTTGGTGCAGACACTGGAAAGAGTTTGGCCTTTGCCTGCACCCTGTGACTTGGCTCACTTGCTTAAGACGCCTGTGTGGTTTCTCTCGCAGGCAGATTTCTGTTGCTGTTTCGTGCTCTGCTATTATTTGAATAAGAGACACGTAAGAACACAGGCTCACGGGGGGGGGGGATCTGATCCAAATGCAGGCCTGTCCCCCCCCCCACGTCTAGGCATCCAGACTGGAGCGGGCCACAAACAAGGAGCACGTAAAACTCGGAAGCTTCGTAACGAAAAGGAACTCTGTGAGCCAAAAAGAGCCACGCTAGACAGTAAAAGTAGTTTCAGTGGGCAGCCGTTTCAGTCTGCAACAGAACCGTTAAGTTGGAGTCCAGCAGCACCTTGGAGACCAACCAGATTTGCAGGGCGTGAGCCTCGAGAGTCAAAGTGGAGCTTCCACTCATTTATTTATTTTATTTATTTATTTTGG